ATGTGTACACAAGTTGCTTCCATGACATATTCTTTCAAACAGCTGGAGAATGAAATGGATATTCTTGCTATTCCATGTGTAGAAATTCTGGTGAAGACACCAGATGCAGCAACTATGGATTTATATGAGATCAGGCTGTTGAAATGGACACTGGAAAAACCATTGTTTTTCAACACTAGTTAGATTATGGAAATCAGTAGGGAGGAGTGGCATACTTTAACATGACAGGTTTATGACAAAGTCTTTTGTAATAGAAACTGTGCTAAAGGGCTATTGTTAATATACACTGTTGACAGATAGAACAGGACTGAATATGATGACATAGATTGTAATGAGATGTTGAGGCTTGAAAATTATTTGATATATCTGTATAGATAAAGGTTGAAAGGTTAACATACTCAAGGTGTGATGTGAAAGTACTGTATGTAGGACTAAATACAATAACTTATATTCTGAAGCTAAGACTGAAAATTTAAAAGTTTGTGTGTAAACTGTGAAAGTTAAAATTCTATAGATGCCACATAGGCATTAATGCGAGACTGGAGAAATATATCTATATATATAACATTAAAAGACTATTAATTCATATTTTTAAAATGAGTTAAAGCATATAAAGCTAAGTAGTATGAATTTATATGCTTAAAATGTATATGAAAATATATTGGCGATAAAAATATTCTGTGTGTGCTTAAAAGTATCAGACTTAAATGTATGTCTTCAAAGATAAGTATGGTTTTATAAATATACAATTGAGTCTTTGTGTCCTGAATGACATTTTTTTTTCATCATCAAATGATTTTGAAACCTCTTTTTTTACCCCAAACATACTTTGTATATATATATCTTGTAGGGTATATTGTATATTTATATACCTTGATGTTATATATACTTTTAATAATACACATGTAGTATAATTAATTGTTAAAGGGCTTATTTTTGTGTTTACAATGATGTAGAAAATAAGTTTAAAGTCAGTTGTTACTTCATGTAAGTATCATGACATATGATGTTTATCTAGGCTTAAAAGCACGATCCATTTTTATTCAAACTTGGATTGTGGGCTAAAGTTTTAATTTGGATTTAAAGTCTAGTGGATTTTTTTTTCAAATTCTCTAGTGTCCATTTAACGAATGCATAGAGAAAGGAGCCTTCTGCAAGAAATACAAATACTATATTATGTGCCATCATTTTCTTTGTTTTGAAGAGAAACAACCATATTCAATCCATATTTTTTTATTGAGTTTGAAATGAGTAACTTCTACTTGTATTTCTTTAAGAAACTTCCTGTTTTGTGGATTTAATTGTCAGTTTCCCTTGATAGTACAATATTATCCAGAAATTTAAAATAAAGAACCAGTATTGAAAAGGTTTTCTGTTGGTCCTATTACTCCATTTCATTTTTTCAGTTCCAAGTGACACATCAGCTATCCTTTGTTGTGTCTCATAGAACCATTTTTGTAAGACTTGTCATTAAAGCATCAGTTTAGAACTAAGCTCAAGGGAGGATTAAGCAGTGGTAAAGTGTTAGCTTAAAGACTGATACATCCTTTGATTTCTATTCAGGATGTTATGCAGAGTAGGAGAGTTCAGTGAGAAAAAATTTGGTAATCATATGTGAGTGTGAATAGACTCAATCTGATATTAGCAAAGATCGAGCAAAGTGTGTTCCAAGCTATCCTATGAAATTACTACTCTCCTACATATTGTAGTAGTTTTTATGTAAAGAAAAGGTAATACATATTCAAAATGTGTGTATAAGTGCTACTTTAACGGCAGTGTAATATTTTTTGCACATTAGCAGGAAGCACACATTAGATCTGTCAGTCTGTAAACATCTACTTTCTGCATCACAGCTATAGTTCTAAAAAGCAGATTTTTAATCAGAATTCATGGGCCACATCCCATGGGACTGGGGAACATCATATTGATTTTGGGGTTAAAAATCATTATTTCAAACAAAAAGTATAATAGAAATTTGATTTCTGTGTAAAAAAACATAACAACAAAAACACTTACATACACATACAGAAAGGCACCATATTTATCAACACACCAGAACAGACATAAAGCTGGTGGTTGAGGGATCAGACATTCTACTGATATATTTTTTGAAAGGCGTTTGAGGTGTTATTATCTAGTCCAAGGTCTAAAAGTCTCAGTTAGTGTCTAATAGATCATTAGTTTCGAGATATATATTGGTAAAAGTACATCGTTCATGCTGTGAACATGATTAAAACCGCAAACCTTGTTCACGTGGGCACATAGAAGTTTTTGAACAGATATCACGTGGATCGGGTTTAAGTCCATATGCTTCAGACCCAGAGCAGTGTTTTTGAATGAATATGAGAAATATATCTTCATACCGAGATAATCCTGTATTTCTAAAATGTTATTTCAACTCGTATATGTTGTTATATTTAAACAATTATATATGGAATATAATACAAAAAAAAACGTAAACATCATTAATATTACAATTATCAGTTATGCTAATTCCTAATCATCGTGCAAAACTCGTAAGGAATCTATGAGAAACACATAAGTTGCTTTTGTTTTGGAAGTTTATATTAACAAAAGGTTTATTTTAAGTTGTTCGTATTGAAGAAGTTCTGATATTGTTCGCATTATAACAAACAAGTGGACTTTGAGATTGATACATCTACAGGCAGCGTAAAGTTGATTCAAAAGTTGTATTTTAACATAGATTTTACTACTAGGTTTTTATTATTGTATTTTTTCCGCGACGGATGGAAATTTTGATTCAAATAAGAAATGGGCAAACTCGAGGTAGTTAAGGTTCTTAAAATCCGGTTGAAAGCTTTGACGGATTATAAATTTAATTCAACTGGCTGCTGCATCAGTATTCACCCATTTCAGAAATATTAAATACATGTTTACGTACAATCGCGTATCATTTTGTGAGGCCTTATTTTGCGTTAAAATAAGATATAAAGCCTTGAAACTTTTCGCAACAAAAACTTCGAATATTTCACAATTCCTAAGGGTAAAATAGAAAACACTAAATTTCTGATCTTTTTCTCACATATCATTAATTACAGTTATTTATTTTTTTTCATGGTGACTGGTGACAAAAATATCTTAGTTCGTTTAATTATAGCAGCAAAGTGTCAGACTGATGCACGCGTGCAGTCCGTACTCGACATAATGGTTGTTTTTTCACGTAATATTCCCCTGGTGCTCAGCGGAAAAAAAAAGCACGCTAATAATTGGGTTTAAATAGCCCATTGTGCTTAACAAATAACAGTTACGTAATATGAAAAAACTGAAGAATAACGCTACAACATTTTAGACACATTCTATAACCAACTAGTATGGAATTTATAATTTAAAATAAAACACGTTTCAGTTATTTTACATAAGTTCAGCTTTGTTAGGATATGTCAGAACACTGCGTGCACGTACTTCAATATGCTTAAACTCTTTAAAATATGAGTGTACGTATTTGTTTTTAAGCTCAAAGATATATAACGGGTTATCTTCACTATGCCCACTGCGGAAACTGGATTTCTAGAGTTGTAAGCCCTAAGGCTTACCGCTGTGCCATCGGGGGAGGAGGGGAGGAATATTATAACTAGATTGGTTAACTGTTGTTAAAAGGTTAGGTTAACAGGGAAAAATCATAACGGGACGCTGGAGCTCAGATTTTGTTTTTAAATTCTTTATATAAATAAGCTCAGATGAGTTTCGCTCGAGTATGTACAGCGCATTTAAAGAAACAAAGAATTCGGAACAGACAATAACATCTTGTATAGATAAGATAAGTGTAATCATCAACTCTGTTTTTGTTTAATTTTCTCTGTCCTATTGTACTGCGGTTAAGAAATCTAGCGATCGTGATAAAATACATTCAAAACATTATTGGGATAATTATTAGTCAATATCAAAATACAGTTTGCCGTGTCTGGCGGTAATTTGCTTACGTATTGAGTAAACCAATTTATAAAATATATTTTAGTTTAAGCGACGATTTGAACTTTATTTGCGAAATCAATTTATTTCTTTACGTTTTGCTTTCCTATATGTTTAAGCGTGATTAATTATAAACAAAATTGTAATATGTGATACGGTATAATGAGGTATTTTCAGAGAATATATAATAGGTAGGTTTAAGATCTTCCACTATTCGTTAGTATCGGATATACGGGGGTTTCGTTCAGAATTTTTTTTTTGGGGGGGGGGTTACTTGGTGAATGGTGCGGCGCAAGACATTTGAGTGCCAAAGGCGCAGTGTGTCAATAAAGATGGTTAAGTTGTATTTCCCCAAATTATTTTACAACTATGTTTAAAAGGGTACTGTGCATTCTTTACATCAAAAGTTATCATTTAGAAATACAATTTCCAAATGTGCAAAACAACTAGGGGTGGAAGTTATTGAGGTTTGAGGGGAGCTTCCCCCTTGCCATATGGAGAAAAAATATATAGTTTTAAGTATACCTATGTGGTAATAGAAATGTTTCTAGATAACAACTATACTCTTCGAATTATGTATACCACATTGAAGGTTTTAAGTTATGAATATAAAGAACCTTTAGTCCTAAATTAATTATCCCTAACCTTGATAATTGAAATGTAGAACGTTTTCTTATTTTTACGGGTCCTAGGCAAAAGTCCGACACGTGCTTGGGAAAATGGTTTTTGCTGTGAAACATGTTATACGATGCATGTATTTCACACGTTTGTAGTATGATATATTCGAAGTATATCAGCGTTATTATCAGCAGAGTTTAAAGTACTAAGTTTTGGGGGCACAATTTCAATACAAACTGTTTCAACTTGATGTAACATAACTGTACTTTGAAACTTCACGTTAGCATTTTTACGAAGGATAATATATAATTATTATTTTTAAATCTTTATTTAGTCATTTAAGTCACATGAAAACTGTTTAACTATTCATTGGACGTTGCGTTCAACCAATAAGAGTGAATGATTTGTCGCTTGTTGCGGTATATAAGATTGTTACCATTGTGACAGCACGTGGGCTTTGTACAAAAGAATACAGTGAATGGGAGCCGAGTAAGAGGATGAAAACAAAAAGTCGTGATTTTTCCCGGAAAACGATATCATTCTGGCCCTGAGGAGAGGATCATTATTACATTGAATACCTTACCGAAAACTGATAATTCCATTTATTGATTTGTATGATTTTCAATGAAATAAGTAGTAATTAATTTTGAAAATGATTGCTGTCTTACTTATTTTCACTTCGGTCTACCTGGCTGTAAGGTAAGTGGCTGTATTAACATGGTATAGTACTACCAGTATTAGTGCAGAGGGAATGCTTTTGACATGGTTATGTGTTCGGATTTGGGACATTCCTTTTTAGTTATATACATATATATTTCCATTCCAATTAATTTGACGTAATACACTAAAGTTCAGGGAGATCTTCAAAGATTATCGACAGCCTTTTTTAAGTCGACTTTTAAAGATATACGTGTCTACATCGGTGATTTGTGTGTGATATTTCATCATAATAAGATTGGTAATAATTTCATTATATTACACTTTTTTTTGGTCTAATACATATTTCAGTAAAAATACTATATTACATATAAATATATAATGTATTTAAACTACAGTTTGATGATTGTGTGTCATTGCCAACAAGCTTTCTTGCTTATATCGCAGCATATAAGGCTGGCTGGTTTCTAGTTACAACATAAAAAGTCTTGGTTGAAACGCTATTTTTGCTAGTTTTCGTCAGAGCTATCGGAACATGACTTTGAGTAGTAATATGCGTGTGATATTTCATCATCATTAAAGTGATAATACTTGTACCCTGGTGGCCTCAGCGGTAAGTATAGCTTGCTTTAAAGACAGACAGACAAAACTGATAATTTACTTATACCTAGTTCGTTCTATATCAGCCCGCCTTTTGCCCATCAGGACAGCCCGCAACACGTTTTACTTTTAGTTAAATGTGAAATGCTATTTAGTTTTAAATCAGTTGCTTATGACACATTGATATAGAATATGTTGTTGTTTTTTAACTTGTTATTTGAATTTTTACGCCTTCTCCAGATTGTGAAACGATGCTGTTATTCTTAACTAGTGTTGTCAACATTGTATTCTGTGGTATAACCTGTGAAGTTAGTTGTATGACAATGCTGTCCGTTATTACCACTTGCACACTGACAGTGCACCTTAGCTTTGTTGATTGCTTCTGCTTGCACTTTTAATATTTATTAATATCATTAAATTCTTACACCCGTATTCAGGAATAATACAAATGTTTCATGGGAACACAGACCCATGTTCTTATTATTATTTTGTTTCCTCGCATCGATCCATTTTAGACACCATTTGTTACCAAGGTCAAACGTATTTGAGTGCACGCACGTGTATTGTAGATAGGGCGCCGAGTTGGTCGTTGCTCCCACTATTGGTAAAAAAGAAAATACAGTATTGAAGCTTTGTATTGTTTATCATTAAAGATTGTATTAACAGACTTAACCTTTCTGTTCATACGATAAAAGTACTGCGAAGTTTTACGGGGATAAGTCAAATTACATTGTTTTGGTGCATATTACATGTAAACAACTTTTACCTCTAACTCATACATGTTAAAACAAGAAATTGGTTAGCATTAATGGAACATTTCAATATTTCTTTATATATATTTTACTGATTGAGACGTTTATTTTCAACAGTTTAAAAACTGAGTTTCAGTAGTTAATAAATTGTCATTTTGTATAGGAAAAGAGTATTTAGAGAAATGATAAAGTAAAGCTGGCAAACTATTCTGCAGTTTACTTATTCCATTCATGTACTCAAGCTATGTGCATTATATTAGTGTGTGAATTAAACATACTATTAAAAGGTACAAAATAGTTGTTATGCCATAACCAGGAATGAAGTATTTATCTATGATTAATGATGGAAACTGATTTTCTGGTTAGTGAGTGGAGTTTAGAAGAAAAAAAAATAGACTCAATATAAGATGTTACCAAATTTTTTGTTTAAGGAGTCGGTCAGTGTTGTACAATATGGACAGTTTAAAGAGTAAGTGGCATTTGAGGTATCCATTTGGAGTTATGAAATTATTAAATAAGTAAGAGATGGGACTGGAGAATTGGTTAGTTAACTCTCCAGCCAGTGAGGGACAAAATTTGATGTAAGAAACATACCCAAGAGGTACGAGTAAAATGTTAGTTTCAGGTCTACCAGAAAATTAAATAAAGTATTTATACAGTACATTTTTGTCTTAAAGTTTTATTGTTTATAAAATTTCATTTACTTTATGCCTACGATAGTGAATTTTACCAGTGATTTTTGTTTACAAATGACATTTGAACCTAATACAAATAATGTTATACATAGGTTTGTAAAATTACTGTATAAATTTAACATAAGATATATATTAGTTTAATTTTACTCTGTTGTTTTTTCTGGAAAAAAAATATTATATATATATATCTGAACTGAGCACAGTTTCTTTTGCAAATAAGTTCCTACAAAAGAACAAAAAAGATGTGACATTATGTTGTCAAGTTTCTGTGTGTTATATATAAATTATTTAAAAATATGTCACACTTTATATTTTTGTTGTTCATGTGTATATCAAAATATTTTAAAATAATTTTAAAGGTTAGTATGATTTAATTTAGTTGTTCTTTTAAGTATACTGTGTGTGTATATATATACATATATATATACACACAAAGCTTTGTAAATCGAAAGTTTATAAACAGTGACAAAATCTTGCAATTCTAGACAAAATATGATTACATCCATAAAACTTTAAACAACTAAAATGTAAATATCTTATGTGCTTAATAAAGAATGTTGATCATTTAGCAAGCTATTAAAATCTACACTGTGTTTTGGTTTTATTGTGATTTTGCTAGTAATATGCATCCATTTATTTCTGTACGAGTTCATTTCCTCACTCCTGAAACAGACCTTGCTCCACCTAGTGGTGTACTGTGTGAGGCTGGAAACTAATAGTCTGCTGCTGACCTTGACCATCATAGCACTAGGATACAGCATTGCTGTCAGAATCCAGGCCATGTATCTCATGGGCCTATCATTTTTCTGACCTTGACAAATAACAGTTTGATAAATTTAGATTAGTTTAAGTGAAATACCTGGAACTTATCCTTATTACACCAAGATTTGTAAATATTTATTTTGCAGTAATTTGTTTTTTTTACAACTTTATTGTAGTATTTTTTTAAGTTTATGTGAGGGCTAATACAGTTATTTTTAATCACATTTTTTAAAGACACAAAAATTAGATTTGATTCTCATTAAGGCCTATTTGAAAACTTTATGAGATTATTTATTTAAATCTTGTTGTACAATGCATGGAGTTTTAGACATTTCTGAAAAGATACTTTTTAAACCAACAGTTATTTCAGTACATGTTGGTATATAAAAAAAGGTTTTATTTTAATCAAAGTTCATGTGGAACCAAGGATTTGAATAGTTACTAATCACTAAAAAATCAGTGTAGAATCACATTGATGATACTGGTTATAAAAACATGCAACTAGTGGATATTGTAATATATGTTTTATAAAAAACATCTTTTTCTTATTTTTATTACCTTGGTTGTGATGTAGGTTGCACAAAGTTTTATGAAATTATTTAAATATTGTATAGCATTTTCTAATTAGAAGGCCTAGTTTTAGTTTTATACTTACTAAACATAGATGCATATCTTTCTTATTGAACTAAGTGTATCAAATTTATTTTAGGTTTTTTTATGTTCTAGTCTTCAGATGAATGTTTTCCTCACTCTTTTAGGTACATTTTTACATTTAAAAATTCGTATAATATTAAATATTTTAGTTCTTCCCAATGTCAGATCTAAAGAGAACTCTTCTAAAAAAAGTCTGCACAAAAATAGTTTTGTAAACTTAAGACTTTTTATCCTTGGTAAAGTTGTGGAAAAACTTAAGATTATTAGTTTAAAAATCTTTATCATTTGTAGATTTTTGTTTTTTTGAGTAGTGATATATTGGTGAAAGATGTAATAACTGATGGAAATGCAATTAATATATTCATATGCATTTCTTTTATTGCTTTGGTCAAGTTTATGTTAAATGACTAATGTAATATTCTTTCAAAGTATTATGTCCACTGTTTGTTGTTTTATGCCTCATATTTCATATTTGGTCTGCAATATGTGATTGTTTCATTTAATAACATTAGACTTGTAACTATGAATTTTTTTAAATATTTCAGTGAAACATGTAACCATTGTTGTGTATAAATGTGTAAGTTTAAAAAAGTGACTACATAGTATGTATATTTTAATTTAAAAAAATGAATAAATATGGACATTTTCATGAATTTTAACATTTTTTGTTCTTGTAATAACAGGATTGCCATGGCAGAACTTGTCCAAAATCTTCAGAATATCTATACCAGATGGGAAGAACGAGCAAAGCCCAAGATAAAACATCTTGCAACAACAACAGAGAACTGTTATTCTTCACAATCACAGACATTTAGAAGGAGATTTAGTAACGAAAAAAAAAATTCCAACATGCAGGCAGGCCACCTTCTTGTAGGACAAATGGTTATGCTCAGTTTCGATTAAAACATTCTGTTGCTCACTTTGTAAGTTAGCATTTTCAATTTACACATATTCATAACTTATGTGATGAAATTGTTTTATTGAAGTGCATGTCATATGTAACAGATTTCTTGACTTCTTATAATTCAGCTGCGCCTAGTGAATTTGTCAAATATTTTTCATATGGGTGTTAAAACTGAAAACATAAATGCATCAATATGGTGGTACCCAAGGTTTTGCAGTTTGAGAATGATGACATTTTTCACTGTTCTTCTTTTTGTGACAGATTTTACTCAAGTTTTTTATTTCATTTTATGTGTGATGTTACAAAGAGATCTAATTTCTTTTTCCTCAATTTATCCCTGCAGTAATAAGCTAATTTTTGGAGGTTTATGAAATTTATGCCAGAGATGAGATTTGTTAGGTATCCATACCATTGGAACAAATCCCTCATTAATATTTTTTTCTGCACAAACTTTTAATAAAATATTTGAAATATTTTATTGAACTTACAGATTAGTGTAAGTTCTAACAAACTGTTGTTTCTTTGAAGAGATACATGCATAATATATCATAATTTGACAAGTTGGTTATAATCTCCTAATCAACTGTAAAAATAGTCATGAACTGCAGATAATTAAAATCCATAATCTCACTTTGACTATTGTGGTTAGGCAAACCATTCACTAAGTGTGTTAATGATCTGATTACCAATGTGAGTATATTATGCACATGTAGTTCAATACCACCATTGTTTTGTCTGTAAGATGCATCTATCTATCTATTTGTGTGTGTCTGAAAACTATCCAAACAAATAATGTTTGTATGTTAATGCTGTTAAAGATCTGACTTTTTCTTGGGGGGGAGGGGGGGAGGGCAGGGAGTGTAATAGGTGTAAACATTTTCCATCTGAGTGACATAGAATGTGAATATTATACTGTGCCATCAGTTACTATGTATAAATGTAGACTAGTACCTATTTAATACTTTTTCTTGCATCTCTTATGTGTGAATTTCAATTAGTTCTTATTCTGTACATAAATAAAAATATTATTTTGTACCTGTATATGTTTAAGTTAAACTCTGTAAAGTTAATGTAATGTGGATAGAGCTTCAAGGATTCTTCAGTTGCTCTGTGAGAAATCTAGATTTCGTGAAAAAATAACTAGCAGGAAACTATTATAACTAGTTAGTGTGAATAAGTGTAGCAGAATGTTCCATACTTAGGCTTATAATAAAATTGTGAGAACAAACCTCAAATTTCCTTTTTAATATTCGAAATGCCAGTGTTTTAATAGTTCTGTTAATAGTTTTTCTAAAATTGATCTATTTAATATGATTAATAATTGCAGTTGGGATTATTTACAATTATCAAATTGAATTGTAGAGGAGGTAATCATTCAGTACAATATTTCAAGCATGTTGTTGTATATATACATACAAGAAAAAATGTTTGACAATTTTTTTTAAATATTGGAAATGTTGTACATTGTGAAGAAGTTGTGTTACAAAGAAAAAGAATTAAGGATTAAAAACTGTACATTCCAGACACTGTTCATTAGAAGACATTTATGAGTACTTTTGTATACAGAAATATAGATTTATAATATTACATAAAAAAGTGAGTTTTTTTGCTTTAATGAAGAGTTACTGTGACTTGGTGGCTGTAAAATTAGTATGTACTAGAATCAATAAGTATAAGTATAAAGAGTTGTATATTATAAGGTTAAAACTAAAATGTTAAATACAGTGTTTAGTGTATTACACATTAGGTTGGGCTAAACATTTCTTGCAATAGTTTAGGTTTCTATTTGTGATGGAAACTGCAAGAACAATACTGTATAAACACTGATTAATAAAAAAAATAATTAAAATTTGATATTTCTTTGATTAAATTGATTTTATATGTTGGAACATCACACTGAATAACAGCAGAAAAATAAGATATATATACATGTAGTATGCAGAGACATGTATTAGTGCTAATGCATTAGAATATCTATATAAAATATATCTATTTTAGTTCAATATTCACATTGTAAAATGATGAAGCAATCATTTTATTACATGTGCATATTAATATAGGGAGATTTTTGTTGTATGGGTAGAAGCAAAGGAAGGCTATCTATAGTATCACATATACCCAAGCATTCTTTCTTTTCAAGGTTACCGTGTTCTTAACCATTTCTCCACTTGTTTTTACTCAGACTATCTGAAAAAGTTCAAGAACAGACATTACCCTTTGTAGTTTGTCCTTGAGATAAATTAAACACATCATGGTTTGAACTAGTGGTTAGACAGATAACATTTCATAAAGTTTGTACAGACAGTTTTGTTGTGATAAAAAATCTTAGATACTAAAATTGTCTTTTTTACTGATGAAGTAGTTTTTCTTATAGTAAAAAGAGTATCTCTTTTGCTTTGCATAACATTTGGCTATGTAGTAGAATTTCTACTCAGAATTGATCTATTTCTTTTCAAGCCCTTCTTAAAATCTAGCCTCACTTATATTACACTTAAAATTTGCTATTAAAATTGGTGTCAAAGTCTCTTTGGTGTGTATAAAATAACTGCTAAGATTTTGTCAGGTTTTTATGTTTGGTTAGCATACTCTACATTCCCATATAAATGTCCAACATTTTTACAGTTAACAAGCTAAATCATCATTTTTTGGGGTAGTCAGAAATACTAAAAAGTAAGAAAAGCTGTAGTAAAACTTCACTATAATTTATGTTATTCAAAACAATGAGACTGTCTTAACTCTGTTGTGTGTGTTACAGCACATCTATGTAAGAGAAAAATAAAACATGTTCGATGCTGTTAAGACTACAGAATAAAAACAGTGGTATTGCTGTCTTAACATTATTATATATTCTGTTATTTGTGTACTTAGAATTGAAATTAGTTTCTTTATTCCATATCACGTGGATTTTGCTGTTTGTTCTACATATCCTTGTTATTGTTTGGACTTGCAGTCATCAAATGAGTTAAACCACCTGATTTGTTTTCAAAATTATGTGTATTAGGATTTTTTGGTTTGTGTATATTTTGGTTATAGTAGCTTTATAGGTGTTTTGTTATTACACATACAACAAGTTTAATCATAATTTGTATCAATTGTAAGATATCTGGGTTTTCAGCATGAAAATTAAAGCTAGCTTGAAATTAAAGGAGTCTAATTACTCTTGTCTATGCAGTCAACACAACTATTATAGCCTTGTGCTATTAGAAATCTTTGTAATTTACATTGTTGGTACTCATAACTCAAGTTTGCCTTGTGTGTCTATGTGTATCCTCTCTCTATAGCATTGTTGACATGGAATGTCTTGTTTATGTAAAAAGAATTTCAAGGTTATGATGAGGATAGTATTGAGGCTTTTGATGGTACTTATGTTTTGTTGCTCTTCATATTCACGTAAATGTGCAGTATGTTTCTGTTTCTCATATACACGCTTGAAATTGTGAATAGTTGAGTGACCACATATTGTTACAGTATTATAATTTTTGAACTTCTCAAGTATAAATTTTATTTTTAAGATGGTCACTTTTTAGTGAAATAATTTTATATTATATTGAATATATGTAGAAATACATTAATTTGAAACAATTACTTGTACTTATAATTTTGATTATATCAGTGAAACATTTCATGAACTTTTGATTGTTGGTGTTAAATTCAAAATACTTTATTAACTTTATTTATCATGCTTTTAATGGATGAATCCTGGAATTATAAATACTGTAATATTCCACTAAGTTATATCATTAGTTTGGATACTAATAATGAATTTTTTTTAATAAAATAAATTTCTTGCATAATGTGAAAGTGTGTGAAGAATTTCCAGATTTTCAAGGGATTTTTATGTAAAGTATATCTTGTTTTGATTCAGATGTTACAAATGTTCATATTATTAATAGTTTTTCTTATTATTCACAATATTAAAGAATTATGCATGTTTTTGAAGTTATGTATTATACAGTTATTTGCATTATCGTCAGGTATAAAAAGACAGAACTTAGTTGTATGAATTAATTCTTGGAGATTGAGATGTTCTATCTTGTTAGTGCAAGTCATGATATTTATAGATTTGTCTGTGCTTTAATTTTGACACACAGCCGAAGTCTTATGGTGTGGGCCACTTTAAGAGTGTTCCTTCCATAATGCCCAGGAACTCTTGGTTGAGGCCTTTTGTAGGAACTTGTTGTTCAAAATGTGTTCCTATCAGTAAGGTAAGCTAGAGTTTTTCCTTATGAATGTTGTATGACAAAGAATATGGTTTGTTCTTTAGTGTCTTATGTATACTATAAAATTGAGGTTTTTTAGTGGTGATGTGCATTACATAGTGCTTTTTAAATGAGAAGATATTGTAGACAATTGTTTAAATACTGTTTGGTAGATGAAATTGGTTAATGCAAGTTTTTACTGTTCCTAATATGACTATAAACTATTATCTTGAATGATTTAAAAAATAGTTTTTCTATTTTTAAAGGATAAAAGCATATATGGGCAATTCCATCATTATTAACTGTACATTTGTGCTATTTTCAGTTCTTTTACCTCCCTGTCTAATGCGTATATAAAAAATTAGATGTACCTGCGCAGGGTCCCCGAAAGTGTTCTGTTTCAAGAGTAAATAAAACTAAAATTAGGAGTAGCAAGTAAATTTAGTTTTTGCTCTTCAAGTTCATGTGTCATGCTGTGTTGTCGCCTACAGAGTGAATAATTCTTCTCGTGATTCATTAAACTATTATTCTTGACCAAAGGATATATAATCATGTTGTTAATTTATGAAAATGTTTATCTACTTTTCTGTAACTTGCATTTTATTGGCTGTTACTTATTTTGCAAGACAAAAAACAGAAATTTTCTTTGTCACTTGTAGTTAACAGAATCTCTTTTAACACCTGATTATACCATAAAAGTGCTTAATGTTTGAACTGGTTAATATCTATAACAAAATATTCAAATTAGATAACGTATTGACCAAGAATTACATATGGTTGGTTACTCACCTTACATTGTCCTCTGTTGATTTCATTTGAACTTGTTTTATTTTTTTGTCACTGTACATAGTCCTGTTAATATTTTTTTGCATTACCTTTATTATTCATTTTATTTAAAAGATAAATTACTAATGCTTACTTTGTAATTCCCTGTTCTACCTGCAGAATCTCAGCTCAAAACACAAAAATGAAGCAAGTTACCATAATTTAAGTAATTTTCTCCAAGAAAATTTCTTTTTTATTAAAAATTTCCTCAAAAACAAGTAGAAAGATACAAATAGATACAGTGGGTTAACATGTACATTATAAAGCCCAAATTCTTGATACAGTTCACAGGCACAAACAGTGCAGATGGTTATTCTTGTCTTGTGAATTTGAAGTGGCCACAAGCATTTGCTGGGACTAGTTAGCCTAACTTTTTAACTGTTTTTTTTTATTATAAAATATTATGATATGCAGGAATGTCGAGAGCCAGCACGGGCCTCAGAGCAAACATCCTTGCCAGGCCCCCTTTCTCTCTCTCTTTTTAAACATTTTCAAGAATTTATTAAAAAGGTCCTAAATTAGGTCAGCAACGAACTCATAAACCAGACAAAATCACAGCAGCAGCCATTTTTACCTCGCAGTATAAGCGTAAAAATCTTAATAAAGTAATAACAAATATCTATTACATCTATAAAGTAACAAATACATATTAATTATTACTGAAATTATATTATTTCAGTCGTTCTCAATGTATCAGGTGTCCATATGCAAGGAAAAGCCAAAAACTATGGTTTTTATCATTAAATGAAGATATAGTCTAAAGATGCTTTGCGGCATAACGAGGTTTCATTCGGCCGGGTCCCTGGGCATATAATGTTTAAATATGTTGTAGAGACATGTTCTTAAGCTCGTACTTGGATAGTTCTCATAAACAGAATTTTAAATAAGCTTTTTTAAACACATTTTTAATGGATTCTAACTTGGAATGAACAAGTGAAATTAGTGTTGCAATGCTTAATCTTAAAATACATCTTCAAAAATTACAACAACTTTTTGTCAAGTTCAACAGGTCATTGAACTGATGTAATTTCTTTTCTATATTTTCACAGTGTTTTAATGATTCAGACTGATTTTTGATATACATAATATGCAGTTATATTACCAGAATACTTTGCAATTTTATCCTTAAAATACATTTCTTTTCATGAAATGTTGAATCAATAGTTTACTTATTCTTTCTCAGTATTAAATAGTAAATGCATGTATTTGCTGTTAAAATACTTCCAGTTTAGTTGGATTTTAGATTTCATGCATTCTTGTCATGCAATAAAAAAATATCTTCTTTTGACAGATGAAGTTCCTTGAGGATCCAGCAATGACATTAGGAATTGCTAACATCCTATGTGTACCAACACAGAACAGGTTGGTACGGGGTGTGTGTTTCCAATACTAGTTCAGACTTGACTTTATTGGGTAACAGAATGTGTTTATTCACTAAATATAAGTAATATACAGGAAAAACAAAATTAGGGATTCCATTTTTATATAAATATTTGGAATGCTTTTATTTTTATTAAATGAAAAAATATAACTTAGAAGTTATAAATCAAGAATGAATAAACACAAATACTAAACAAAGTTAAAGGAAAATAGAATGAAATTAATTTTAGTAATATGGTTTATCTCATTTAATGTCTATGGATAGTTTTTTAAAATATTTTGTAAGATGTGTTTTAATAGTTTTCTTACTGTGTACTAAAAGAAAAAAAATTAGAAAGAAATTAATGTGTTTCTATACCAGCAGCTACAGAATGTTTCTCTCTCTGTGGGTTCAATAGGAAAAATAATTATGAAGTGAATGTGACTAATATTATTGAAAAAAATTGATTATTCTAGAGTTAGGTTGATTGTTAGCCTAAAAGAAAGAGCTTTTGTTTTCACCATTTCAAAGTAATTGCAGTGTGTATTTTTTAAGGGGGGTGGGGTAGAAGTGAAACATCACAGTACTACTGTTGATATAAACAAGTCTATCTTGAAAACAGTTTCTAGTATTAAAGATAATAGTATTTCATCTACTCTTGAGTGTTTAGTAGTTGCTGATAAAAGCTTTTTGTTCAATTTTTTAGTTTTTCAGGCCTAACTTGGCAAGCAGTTACACACAAGGGGTTGTAGCTGCTTTGACGTATGTTCTTGATGTTTTGTTCATTTTTTTATGTAATATTTTCTCAGGGACAATGGACTGTTGACTAGAACATTTCATTATGCAGCATTTATTCTGCAGAGAAATCCTGAGTTTAAATATCCAGGAGTGAGTAAAAGAGTTATCCATAGTGAAAGGTGAGAAGAGAGGACAGTTTAAAAATAGATATAATGTAAACTTTTTTATTTAGTGAAGTGTGGTTAGGAGCCTATTGTATTTAATTTTGATCTACACATTGGCTTAATACATTTTATTATGCTGAATGCTTTGAAAATCAGGATGTAGAATTGATATTATAACATATCATTGTATATTGAAACAGTCTATGTGATCCCTATTATGAACCACTATCGTGGTTCATGATAGGAACGTAACCTAATTTTGGATAACAAATAGGAAAAAGCAGTCTAATGTGTTCGAGGTGTAATGAATATGTGTACATTTTAACTTATAAGTTTTTGGCGGCTGCTGTTTATTTGTTAGTCAGCTGTATTTAAATGTGTGATTTGTTCAAGATATACTCTGGTACTTAAAGAAAAACATTAAGTTATTGAATTCAACAGAATTTTTTTAGGATGATGTTGGGCACTAACTTGAATATTAGTGGATTTATACATTTTCTAAGAGAATTTTAATTTTTCTACTACAAACTTTCTATCATAGGGTCCAAAATGCTATAGAAGAAACAGCAAGCGAAGAACTTTCAGGTTTGTGTTGTTTTGTTCAACAACTAAGCCAGAGCTTTTCTAGAGGATAATTAAGAGTAATGTTATCAGTACAAATTAATATAATACACCATTTTTTTATGTAAAACTTGTGGTGTAGTAATGCAGTTTTTATAAACACACGTGTAATAGCTTTATAAGTTTGATCTTGTACAACTGGACATATAACTTTTGACTTCATATTAGGCTTAATACATTTGTAAGACAAGCCGTTTTATGTTTAGGGGAAAGAGAGAGAGAGACTGTTCACAGTTTGTGACATACTTTGTAATATTTCCTACTGTATGCATTAAATTATAATGAAATATACATGTATTGTGTTAATGTTTCTTTACTGGAGAGTTGAGTGCTGTTTGTTGAAATATCCAAAATGTTCATATTAAATGAAATATATAAATATGTGTGTGACTAAACCATAGGTATAATATCTAATGCACCATATATATATTTGACTAGTATTGATGCATATAAGTGGTGTTCAGAAAAAAATAATATTTCATTCTACCTTGTGTTGGTAAAAGTAAATTGTAGCAGAAATATTGTCCTGTTAACCCATGTGCACAAATGGAGGTCAAAGTCTGCATGCCTTGATGTTGTACAGAGTGTGCTATTCAATGTGGTATTCTGTACTAGGTCACAGGGCATGAACACTTTTGATCATCACCTGCTTATAGTGAACAGTACAAGTCTGTATGATAGACTTGTACTGTTGACTAAAAGTTGCCACATTTTACAAAGATACACTTTGTAAATTCAGAATTATAGTGAAAGTTACTTCTCCCATATAGGTTTGGTGTAATGGACTATCCCTGTGCACATTGATGGATCATTAACTTGTGCTTGTGACACCTGATGTGTTTTACAGCATAGTTAACATGATACACTTTTACAAAATAGTGTTTTTGTCTACATGCTGCAGTTCCGTAGTCACTACCATCCTCAGCAGGTTGTGACTTCCATCTTTCTGGTGCCGTTAAGGATAGTCTGTGTGTGCAACACTTTTATACAACTAACATTCATAGAACAGAATGCAGACAGTTGAATCTTTTACACCACCCTGCACACTGTTAAGCTGGCTCATGAAACTACTTGTACTTAATTGGGATTAGATTGAGGAGCGTGTTAGATTTAAATAAACTTGGCATCAAAACATAGTTAATAAATCAAATTTTAATATTATATATTTTTAAGTTCTTACTTATATAAGGAATATTAAAAACAAAATCTTCAATCTCCCCTTGAATGAGAATTGTGACATTTGATCTTTAGGTCTCCCCTCACCTCTAATTTATTAACCACTCCATTGAGAAATACATAATCTAGTGTAAATTACTCATTACAATATTGCTATTACTCGGGCAAAGCATAATTTTATAGCCTTCAATCTCTGTTGTTCATGGAGCCATAAACTAGAAAATCAGACCTACTTGCCATGCCCACCTGACACATTCTCTTTCACAAATTGCCAATAGTTCTCTCTGATTCTTAATACTATATTATTTATAATCACTAGAAAGTCAATGTTTTAGTCTATTAAATAACCTATTATATTCGGTTGTTTTCTGTACAGAGAATTGTGTATTTCTTTTCCAGATTGAAACATTATTCCCATGGGAAACACATTGATGAGCTTAGTTGAATTTTTAATGGCTCTTACAGCATACTTAGAAAGCCAAGATATAAAGTTTTTTCTTAAGAATCATTTGATAACTATCTGAACATTTATAAAGATTTTGCATATGAAATTTGAAAATTTTCTGATGCACAAAAGTATTTTTAATCTTAAAATGAAAATTACTTTGCATGTTGGATAGGCAACATGTGAAAAGAAAAAAAAGGCATGAGATAAACGTTGCTTTAGAAAAAATCAAAATTAAATATCTTATTTTTCAAAAACCACATACTTATAGGACTTTTCATCTCAAATTTAAAAGAATTTCATCCACTACTTTCATTTTTGTAAAGAACTTTCAAAACGTTAAATGTTATTACTCTGTGTTCTTAGTTGCATTATTTAATTAAATAAAAAATTATTTAGTGTTGTAGTACTATTAGTATATATAAAAAAAAAAAAGAGGCTTAAGTTTCAGCGACAGTCTGCAGTAAAAAAAACACGAGGATCCAGATATGTACTACATTTCTTGTTTTTCATGTATAATCTTTATTATTATTAAAGTAACTAAAATGTAAAGAATTAGAAACTTATTAGGTTAGATAATGAAAATAATAATAATAAAAATTCTTCATGAGGTACTCGTGAGCAGATCATGCATTACATAATTTGATAATGTAACATGAGCTGCATGTTTGCTGAGTGATTTACAACTTGGGTGGTGAGATTATTAGTTAAACATGGTTAAAGGTCAATAAAACAATAAAATTAAGTATAAATAGATGTATATTCTTATGAACTTTAAGCTAATTAGGATAAACAGTTGTGGTTTCCTGGTACAATTTGTAGTTATTCTAGAAAAAAATAAAGGTTAAATTACCTTTATTTTTTCTAGAATAACTATTAAATCTAAATTGATTTAATATCTAATTTTCTATGGTGGTTACAAGGTTGGTCATATTGATCAACCCCTGTCTAGAGTTAGGGTAGAGAAAATTATAGATAAGTTATAAAGTTTTTCTGAAAAAAACGTTCTGATATTTATTTAGGAGATCTTATAGATTATGCAAGTGAAATTTGACAATTTGCAGATGGAGAAAAGTATTTTTAATCTTAACTTGAAAATCACTTAGTGCTCGGAGCAGTCAACACTTTGAGTGAGCTTGACTCCATATATTCATGGAGAAATTTTTAGTGAAAATAATTAACAAATCAGATCTTTTTTTTATCGATAGTCTGTGAAATTTCGTGAAGGTATGCTTACATTATCAAAAGCTATAATATGGGTGATTTCATGGTTATTCATAATTACTTTTGTGGTTACAAATTACATGCAATGTGCCTCTCCTGTTTGGAAAGAGTTAATGGAGACAATGTTGAGAAGTAATGTCTTGTTCCCAAATTCTCAAACCATTGATGTAGAATGTTTGATCACAATCTGATGTGATTGTGTTACAGAAACCATTCCTTTAGGAATATCCTTCTGTGTTAAGATATAAAAACTCATTAATAATTATGTTTGTCTTTAACAAGTTCATGGTAATAAAGATATTAATTCACTGTAATTTAGATCTTGGACTGGACAATATTCACATGATGCAATTAAGGCAGAAACACAGGAGGAGAGCAATAGAAATTTTGAAACGAATGAGATCTTGCATTTCATCTTTACTGCTCAGGTATGACTGTTTTTATTATACATTTTATCAAATGTGTTCATAATGACAAAAATTAGGTCTTGTATGGATAATTTCTGTATTTTTGATAAAGCTTCTGTTCCCATATAGACTTAGGTGTGTGAATAAAAAAAATAATCAGTTCATTTTTGGAAATTACTGACTAGATAAATGTAATCCGTAAATGTCACTCTTATTAAAGTAAGTGGTACAAATCAGATTTAAGAAACAGAAAGTGCTTTTTAGAACTTTGTGACTTGTGATATCTTTTTTGTCAAGAAGTTATATGAAGTTAATCTTCTACATTATACAAAAGTTACCATTACTACATGTAGATAGGAATTATAAGTAACATTTTTAGTTTCTGTTACAGAATATGTATAAATAATGGACAGTTTATTTAATTTTGAAAGAAAGAAACGGAAACATTTTGTAATTTACATATATATGTACAAACTAAACTTACATAGTAAACATGATTGTGTGTTATCAACAATGCATTTTAATTAGAGAAGTTTTACTTAAAGATTTTAATTAGGATAACTTGACCAAGCATGGCTTGGTGGTTAGTATACCTGGACTGTTAATCCACAGATTCATGGTTCATATAAGTGATGGTCAAACCCTATTATTCAATGAGAAAAGAATAGTCCAAGAGTTGGTGATGGGTGCTGTTTATCAGCTGCCTTCCCTCTTGTCTAATGGTTCAAGATTAGGGATGGCTATATGCAGTTAGTCCTTGGACCTGGCATGGCCTGTTGGTTCAGGCACTTGATTAGCAAACTGAGGATAGCAAGTTCCATTCCCTGTCACTAAACACGCTCGTCCTTTTGGCTGCTGTTTGGGCCAGCCACCCGAATGTAAAAGTTCTTGGCTTAGAAAATTACTGCCCAACCTCATGCTAGTTGGAATTAAGGTCACTAAGAAGATATGCAGGTAGCCCTTGTGTGAAAATTCTAAAGCCAACAAAAAATAACTTGCTTGTATCATATTTATCCTCTTTGTAGTTTTTTTTTGTTGAATATTGTAAATAATATTTCCTGTATTTGTTATAAATTTTGATGTATGCTTTTAATTTGTATCATAGAATTTCAGGCTGGGTTATTTACAAAATTCTTGGAAGGATTCTGAATGGTATTTATGTGCATAAAGGCCAAATAGAAGCTCTCAGGAAAGTGAGTAAGGTAAAAATATTGGTGTTATTGATTTTTGTGTGTAATGATTCCTTGTAATTTCTTAATTCTGATCAGTCTTGTTGCGCCTATCCTATCCATTAGAGCATACAAATATATAATAGTTTTAGGGAGTGATGTAGAAAATACTTACAAAAATGAAGATTCAGATGTTTTGTTGTTTTTCTTATAAAACATTTTGCAACAAAAGAACATACACAAAAGATAATTCTCCATGGTTCCTTTCTGTATATGTTTATTAAAATATAGTTTTGTCATGTACATTTTCCATTATATATAT